AAAAGATAATTGAAACGCCATCAAAAGCTCCTGAACATGAAGCTATTGATAAATATAACTACAATTGAAAAGCCAATTTCTGAAGATGAAACAGCAGAAATCCGTGAACCAAAGGATGGACATTCTCAAGAGGTCATTGAAGAAACGTTTACTATGCCAGAGGAAACAGCACTTGAAAGTGAATCGCTATTGTTCCCTGAAGGTGTTTCAACAACTGCTCCATATGAAGGTGTCTTACAAGATGAAGAGATAGTAGAAGTGGTTAAACCAAGAACATATGATGAAAGAGCAGAGATCATTGATACACAAGATGGAGATTTTGAACACGAAGCAATTGGGGAAATCACTGAACCTGAACAACCGTTTTGTGGTGATGACATCATGCCAAGTATTGACTCAAAGGATGACCTTTCTGAAGGGGTCAGTGATGCAACTGTGACCACAAGAGAAGAAGCTGTCCTTGAAAGTGAAATGCAATTAGTGTCAGAAGACGTCTCAACAACTGCTCCGTACAAAGATGTCTTGCAAGACGTTGAGGTAGTACCTGTGGATACAGGTATCATGGAAGCTGATTTGGAGCAGATCGGTAAAACACCATATGAGGCTAATGAACATGAAGCTATAGCACAGACCATTGAAATTGAAAAGCCAATTTACGAAGATGATATCGTGCAAATAGTTGAAGTTAAAGAGGCAGATTCTGAACAAATAATTGAAGAAACTATAACCATGCGAGAGCAAACATTAGTTGAAAGTGAAACACAATTGGTGTCTGAAGATGTGTCAACAGCTTCTGCATATGAAGGTGTCTCAGGAGACCTTGAGAAAATAGAAGTTGCGTGGTTAACCAAAGAAGCTGACCTGGAAAAGATAATTGAAACGCCATCAAAAGCTCCTGAACATGAAGCTATTAATAAAATAACTACAATTGCAAAGCCAATTTTTGAAGCTGAAACAACAGAAATCCTTGAACCAAAGGATGGAGATTCGCAAGAGGTCATTGAAGAAACGTTTACTAGGCCAGAGGAAACAGTACTTGAAAGTGAAACGCTATTGGTCCCTGAAGATGTTTCAACAACTGCTCCATATGAAGGTGTCTTACAAGACGAAGAGATAGTAGAAGTGGTTAAACCAAGCACATATGATGATATAGCAGAGGTCAGTGATACACAAGATGGAGATTTTGAACAAAAAGCTATTGGGGAAATCACTGAACCTGAACAACCGTGTTGTGAAGATGACATCATCGCAATTATTGACTCAAAGGATGACCTTTCTGAAGGGGTCAGTGATGCAACTGTGACCACAAGAGAAGACGCTGTCCTTGAAAGTGAAATGCAATTAGTGTCGGAAGATGTCTCAACAACTGCTCCGTACAAAGATGTCTTGCAAGACGTTGAGGTAGTACCTGTGGCTACAGGTATCACGGAAGCTGATTTGGAACCGATCGGTAAAACACCAGATGAGGCTACTGAACATGAAGCTATAACACAGACCATTGAAATTGAAAAGCCAATTTCTGAAGATGATATCGTCCAAATAGTTGAAGTAAAAGAGGCAGATTCTGAACAAATAATTGAAGAAACTGTAACCATGCAAGAGCAAACAATAGATAAAAGTGAAACACAATTGGTGTCTGAAGATGTGTCAACAGCTGCTACGTATGAAGGTGTCTCAGGAGACTTTGAGAAAAAGGATGTTGTGGTGTCAATCAAAGAAGCTGACCTGGAAAATATAATTGAAACCCCAGGAAAAACTCCTGAACATGAAGCTATTGATAAAATAACTACAATTGCAAAGCCAATTTCTGAATCTGAAACAACAGAAATCCTTGAACCAAAGGATGTAGATTCGCAAGAGGTCATTGAAGAAACGTTTACTAGGCCAGAGGAAACAGTACTTGAAAGTGAAACGCTATTGGTCCCTGAAGATGTTTCAACAACTGCTCCGTATGAAGGTGTCTCAGAAGACGACGAGATAAGAGAAGTGGTTAAACCAAGCACATATGATGATATAGCAGAAATCATTGATACACAAGATGGAGATTTTGAACAAGAAGCTATTGGGGAAATCACTGAACATCCGTTTTTTGAAGATGACATCATCGCAATTATTGACTCAAACGATGACCTTTCTGAAGGGGTCAGTGATGCAACTGTGACCACAAGAGAAGAAGCTGTCCTTGAAAGTGAAATGCAAATAGTGTCGGAAGATGTCTCAACAGCTTCTCAGTACAAAGATGTCTTGCAAGACGTTGAGGTAGTACCTGTAGCTACAGGTATAATAAAAGTTGATTTGGAACAGATCGGTAAAACACCAGATGTGGCTGCTGAGTATGCAGCTATAGAACAGATCACTGAAGTTGAAAAGCCAATTTCTGAAGATGATATCGTGCAAATAGTTGAAGTAAAAGAGGCAGATTCTGAACAAATAATTGAAGGAACTGTGACCATGCGAGAGCAAACAATGGTTGAAGGTTATACGCAACTTGCGTCTGAAGAAGTTTTAACGGCTGCTGCATATGAAGGTGTCTCAGAAGACTTTGAGAAAATTGAAGTTGTTAGGTCAATCAAAGAAGGCGACCAGGAAAAGATCATTGAAACGCCAGGAGTATCTCGCAAACATGAAGCTATTGATAAAATCACTGACATTGAAATGCCACTTTCTGAAGATGATATAGCAGAAATCGTTATACCAAAGGAGGCAGATTCTCAAGTCGTCTTTGAAGAAACTCTTACCACGGCAGAAAAAAAAGTAGTTGAGAGTGAAACACCAATAGGGTCTGAAGACGTTTCCACCACTGCTCATTATCAAGGTTTCTCACAAGACGTTGAAATAGCAGAAGTAGCTATATCAATGACAGAACCTGAACTGGCAGAGATTCCAGAAAAAACAGATGAAGCATATGATCATGAAGCGGTTAAAATAATTCCAGAAATTCAACAGCAAATTTGTGAAGATGATATAGTAAACACCACTGAGCCTAAGAAAACAGATTCTGAAGATGAAATTGAAGATATTTCGACCAAGTCAGAGAAAACAATACTTGAAAGTGAAACGCAATTGGTGCATGGAGATGTTTCAATGACTGCTACATACGAAGTTGACTCATGGTCATATGAAAAAGTAATGCAAGGAATTGAGATAAAAAATGTGGAGGTGGGAACCCCAAGTCTCCCCATAGCTGTTGATAGTAAAGCACGTGTTGAAAGTTTGTATGAACCGGTGGAAAAACTGGAATTTAGACCTGCTGGGCAGGGAATATGGTTTAATGCCAGTTTAGATGCTATGAGATTGGCTAACGCTAACCAGATGGAAATGCTCAGTAATGATGAGCAAACACCCTCAGGGATAGTGTTCTTGGAAAGTGTTGATGAGAAGGAAAGTGAAACTGATGTTCAGCCAATTTCTGATGATCAGTCAATTTATGAAGATGATATCGTGCAAATAGTTGAAGAAAAAGAGGCAGATTCTGAACAGAAAATTGAAAAAACTGTGACCAAGCGAGAGCAAACAATAGTTGAAAGTGAACTGCTTTTGGTCCCTGAAGATGTTTCATCAATTGCTCCATATGAAGGATTCTCAGAAGACGACGAAATAGAAGAAGTGATTAAACCAAGCACATATGATGAAAGAGCAGAGATCATTGATACACAAGATGGAGATTTTGAACACGAAGCGATTAGGGAAATCACTGAACCTGAACAACCGTTTTGTGACGATGACATCATGCCAAATATTGACTCAAAGGATGACCTTTCTGAAGGGGTCAGTGATGCAACTGTGACCACAAGAGAAGAAGCTGTCCGAGAAAGTGAAATGCAATTCGTGTCGGAAGACATCTCAACAACTGCTCCGTACAAAGATGTCTTGCAAGACGTTGAGGTAGTACCTGTAGCTACAGGTATCACAAAAGTTGATTTGGAACAGATCGGTAAAACACCAGATGAGGCTACTGAACATGAAGCTATGACACAGACCATTGAAATTGAAAAACCAATTCATGAAGATGATATCGTGCAAATAGTTGAAGTGAAAGAGGCAGATTCTGAACAAATAATTGAAGAAACTGTAACCATGCGAGAGCAAACATTAGTTGAAAGTGAAACACAATTGGTGTCTGAAGATGTGTCCACAGCTTCTGCATATGAAGGTGTCTCAGGAGACCTTGAGAAAATAGAAGTTGCGTGGTCAACCAAAGAAGCTGACTTGGAAAAGATAATTGAAACGCCATCAAAAGCTCCTGAACATGAAGCTATTGATAAAATAACTACAATTGCAAAGCCAATTTCTGAAGCTGAAACAACAGAAATCCTTGAACCAAAGGATGTAGATTCGCAAGAGGTCATTGAAGAAACGTTTACTAGGCCAGAGGAAACAGTACTTGAAAGTGAAACGCTATTGGTCCCTGAAGATGTTTCAACAACTGCTGCGTATGAAGGTGTCTCAGAAGACGACGAGATAAGAGAAGTGGTTAAACCAAGCACATATGATGATATAGCAGAAATCATTGATACACAAGATGGAGATTTTGAACAAGAAGCTATTGGGGAAATCACTGAACCTGAACATCCGTTTTTTGAAGATGACATCATCGCAATTATTGACTCAAACGATGACCTTTCTGAAGGGGTCAGTGATGCAACTGTGACCACAAGAGAAGAAGCTGTCCGAGAAAGTGAAATGCAATTCGTGTCGGAAGACGTCTCAACAACTGCTCCGTACAAAGATGTCTTGCAAGACGTTGAGGTAGTACCTGTGGCTACAGGTATCATGGAAGCTGATTTGGAACAGATCGGTAAAACACCAGATGAGGCTACTGAACATGAAGCTATGACACAGACCATTGAAATTGAAAAGCCAATTCATGAAGATGATATCGTGCAAATATTTGAAGTAAAAGAGGAAGATTCTGAACAAATAATTGAAGAAACTGTAACTATGCGAGAGCAAACATTAGTTGAAAGTGAAACACAATTGGTGTCTGAAGATGTGTCAACAGCTTCTCCATATGAAGGTGTCTCAGGAGACCTTGAGAAAATAGAAGTTGCGTGGTCAACCAAAGAAGCTGACCTGGAAAAGATAATTGAAACGCCATCAAAAGCTCCTGAACATGAAGCTATTGATAAAATAACTACAATTGCAAAGCCAATTTCTGAAGCTGAAACAACAGAAATCCTTGAACCAAAGGATGTAGATTCGCAAGAGGTCATTGAAGAAACGTTTACTAGGCCAGAGGAAACAGTACTTGAAAGTGAAACGCTATTGGTCCCTGAAGATGTTTCAACAACTGCTCCGTATGAAGGTGTCTCAGAAGACGACGAGATAAGAGAAGTGGTTAAACCAAGCACATATGATGTTATAGCAGAAATCATTGATACACAAGATGGAGATTTTGAACAAGAAGCTATTGGGGAAATCACTGACCCTGAACATCCGTTTTTTGAAGATGACATCATCGCACTTATTGACTCAAACGATGACTTTTCTGAAGGGGTCAGTGATGCAACTGTGACCACAAGAGAAGAAGCTGTCCTTGAAAGTGAAATGCAATTCGTGTCGGAAGACGTCTCAACAACAGCTCCGTACAAAGATGTCTTGCAAGACGTTGAGGTAGTACCTGTGGCTACAGGTATCATGGAAGCTGATTTGGAACAGATCGGTAAAACACCAGATGAGGCTACTGAACATGAAGCTATGACACAGACCATTGAAATTGAAAAGCCAATTCATGAAGATGATATCGTGCAAATATTTGAAGTAAAAGAGGCAGATTCTGAACAAATAATTGAAGAAACTGTAACTATGCGAGAGCAAACATTAGTTGAAAGTGAAACACAATTGGTGTCTGAAGATGTGTCAACAGCTTCTCCATATGAAGGTGTCTCAGGAGACCTTGAGAAAATAGAAGTTGCGTGGTCAACCAAAGAAGCTGACCTGGAAAAGATAATTGAAACGCCATCAAAAGCTCCTGAACATGAAGCTATTGATAAAATAACTACAATTGCAAAGCCAATTTCTGAAGCTGAAACAACAGAAATCCTTGAACCAAAGGATGTAGATTCGCAAGAGGTCATTGAAGAAACGTTTACTAGGCCAGAGGAAACAGTACTTGAAAGTGAAACGCTATTGGTCCCTGAAGATGTTTCAACAACTGCTCCGTATGAAGGTGTCGCAGAAGACGACGAGATAAGAGAAGTGGTTAAACCAAGCACATATGATGATATAGCAGAAATCATTGATACACAAGATGGAGATTTTGAACAAGAAGCTATTGGGGAAATCACTGAACCTGAACATCCGTTTTTTGAAGATGACATCATCGCAATTATTGACTCAAACGATGACCTTTCTGAAGGGGTCAGTGATGCAACTGTGACCACAAGAGAAGAAGCTCTCCGAGAAAGTGAAATGCAATTCGTGTCGGAAGACGTCTCAACAACTGCTCCGTACAAAGATGTCTTGCAAGACGTTGAGGTAGTACCTGTGGCTACAGGTATCATGGAAGCTGATTTGGAACAGATCGGTAAAACACCAGATGTGGCTGCTGAGCATGCAGCTATAGAACAGATCACTGAAATTGAAAAGCCAATTTCTGAAGATGATATCGTGCAAATAGTTGAAGTAAAAGAGGCAGATTCTGAACAAATAATTGAAGGAACTGTGACCATGCGAGAGCAAACAATGGTTGAAGGTTATACGCAACTTGCGTCTGAAGAAGTTTTAACGGCTGCTGCATATGAAGGTGTCTCAGAAGACTTTGAGAAAATTGAAGTTGTTAGGTCAATCAAAGAAGCCGACCAGGAAAAGATAATTGAAACGCCAGGAGTATCTCGCAAACATGAAGCTATTGATAAAATCACTGACATTGAAATGCCACTTTCTGAAGATGATATAGCAGAAATCGTTATACCAAAGGAGGCAGATTCTCAAGTCGTCTTTGAAGAAACTCTTACCACGGCAGAAAAAAAAGTAGTTGAGAGTGAAACACCAATAGGGTCTGAAGACGTTTCCACCACTGCTCATTATCAAGGTTTCTCACAAGACGTTGAAATAGCAGAAGTAGCTATATCAATGACAGAACCTGAACTGGCAGAGATTCCAGAAAAAACAGATGAAGCATATGATCATGAAGCGGTTAAAATAATTCCAGAAATTCAACAGCAAATTTGTGAAGATGATATAGTACACACCACTGAACCTAAGAAAACAGATTCGGAAGATGAAATTGAAGATATTTCGACCAAGTCAGAGAAAACAATACTTGAAAGTGAAACACAATTGGTGCATGGAGATGTTTCAATGACTGCTGCATACGAAGTTGACTCATGGTCATATGAAAAAGTAATGCAAGGAATTGAGATAAAAAATGTGGAGGTGGGAACCCCAAGTTTCCCCATAGCTGTTGATAGTAAAGCACGTGTTAAAAGTTTTTATGAACCGGTGGAAAAACTGGAATTTAGACCTGCTGGGCAGGGAATATGGTTTAATGCCAGTTTAGATGCCATGAGATTGGCTAACGCTAACCAGATGCAAATGCTCAGTAATGATGAGCAAACACCCTCAGGGGTAGTGTTCTTGGAAAGTGTTGATGAGAAGGAAAGTGAAACTGATGTTCAGCCAATTTCTGATGATCAGCCAATTTCTGAAGATGATATCATGCAAATAGTTGAAGAAAAAGAGGCAGATTTTGAACAGAAAATTGAAAAAACTGTGACCAAGCGAGAGCAAACATTAGTTGAAAGTGAAACACAATTGGTGTCTGAAGATGTGTCAACAGCTTCTGCATATGAAGGTGTCTCAGGAGACCTTGAGAAAATAGAAGTTGCGTGGTCAACCAAAGAAGCTGACCTGGAAAAGATAATTGAAACGCCATCAAAAGCTCCTGAACATGAAGCTATTGATAAAATAACTACAATTGAAAAGCCAATTTCTGAAGATGAAACAGCAGAAATCCGTGAAGCAAAGGATGGAGATTCGCAAGAGGTCATTGAAGAAACGTTTACTATGCCAGATGAAACAGCATTTGAAAGTGAATCGCTATTGTTCCCTGAAGGTGTTTCAACAACTGCTTCATGTGAAGGTGTCTTACAAGACGAAGAGATAGTAGAAGTGGTTAAACCAAGCACATATGATGATATATCAGAGGTCATTGATACACAAGATGGAGATTTTGAACACGAAGCGATTGGGGAAATCACTGAACCTGAACAACCGTTTTGTGACGATGACATCATGCCAATTATTGACTCAAAGGATGACCTTTCTGAAGAAGTGAGTGATGTGACTGTGACCACAAGAAAAGAAGCTGCTCTTGAAAGTGAACTGCAATTGGAGTCGGAAGACGTCTCAACAACTGCTCCATACAAAGATGTCTTGCCAGACGTTGAGGTAGCACCTGTGGCTACAGGTATCACAGAAGCTGATTTGGAACAGATCGGTAAAACACCAGATCAGGCTACTGAACATGAGGCTATAGCACAGATCATTGACATTGAAAAACCAATTTCTGAAGATGATAACATGCAAATAGTTGAAGTGAAAGAGGCAGATTCTGATCAAATAATTGAAGAACCTGTGACCATGCGAGAGCAAACATTAGTTGAAAGTGAAACACAATTGGTGTCTGAAGATGTGTCAACAGCTTCTGCATATGAAGGTGTCTCAGGAGACCTTGAGAAAATAGAAGTTGCGTGGTCAACCAAAGAAGCAGACCTGGAAAAGATAATTGAAACGCCATCAAAAGCTCCTGAACATGAAGCTATTGATAAAATAACTACAATTGAAAAGCCAATTTCTGAAGATGAAACAGCAGAAATCCGTGAACCAAAGGATGGACATTCGCAAGAGGTCATTGAAGAAACGTTTACTATGCCAGAGGAAACAGCACTTGAAAGTGAATCGTTATTGTTCCCTGAAGGTGTTTCAACAACTGCTCCATATGAAGGTGTCTTACAAGACGAAGAGATAGTAGAAGTGGTTAAACCAAGCACATATGATGATATAGCAGAGGTCAGTGATACACAAGATGGAGATTTTGAACAAAAAGCTATTGGGGAAATCACTGAACCTGAACAACCGTGTTGTGAAGATGACATCATCCCAATTATTGACTCAAAGGATCACCTTTCTGAAGGGGTCAGTGATGCAACTGTGACCACAAGAGAAGAAGCTGTCCTTGAAAGTGAAATGCAATTGGAGTCAGAAAATGTCTCAACAACAGCTCCATACAAAGATGTCTTGCCAGACGTTGAGGTAGAACCTGTGGCTACAGGTATCACAGAAGCTGATTTGGAACAGATCGGTAAAACACCAGATCAGGCCACTGAACATGAGGCTATAGCACAGATCATTGACATTGAAAAACCAATTTCTGAAGATGATAACGTGCAAATAGTTGAAGTGAAAGAGGCAGATTCTGATCAAATAATTGAAGAAACTGTGACCAAGCGAGAGCAAACATTAGTTGAAAGTGAAACACAATTGGTGTCTGAAGATGTGTCAACAGCTTCTGCATATGAAGGTGTCTCAAGAGACCTTGAGAAAATAGAAGTTTCGTGGTCAACCAAAGAAGCTGACCTGGAAAAGATAATTGAAACGCCATCAAAAGCTCCTGAACATGAAGCTATTGATAAAATAACTACAATTGAAAAGCCAATTTCTGAAGATGAAACAGCAGAAATCCGTGAACCAAAGGATGGACATTCTCAAGAGGTCATTGAAGAAACGTTTACTATGCCAGAGGAAACAGCACTTGAAAGTGAATCGCTATTGTTCCCTGAAGGTGTTTCAACAACTGCTCCATATGAAGGTGTCTTACAAGATGAAGAGATAGTAGAAGTGGTTAAACCAAGAACATATGATGAAAGAGCAGAGATCATTGATACACAAGATGGAGATTTTGAACACGAAGCAATTGGGGAAATCACTGAACCTGAACAACCGTTTTGTGGTGATGACATCATGCCAATTATTGACTCAAAGGATGACCTTTCTGAAGAAGTGAGTGATGCGACTGTGACCACAAGAGAAGAAGCTGCCCTTGAAAGTGAAATGCAATTGCAGTCAGAAAATGTCTCAACAACTGCTCCATACAAAGATGTCTTGCCAGACGTTGAGGTAGCACCTGTGGCTACAGGTATCACAGAAGCTGATTTGGAACAGATCGGTAAAACACCAGATCAGGCTACTGAACATGAGGCTATAGCACAGATCATTGACATTGAAAAACCAATTTCTGAAGATGATAACGTGCAAATAGTTGAAGTGAAAGAGGCAGATTCTGATCAAATAATTGAAGAAACTGTGACCATGCGAGAGCAAACATTAGTTGAAAGTGAAACACAATTGGTGTCTGAAGATGTGTCAACAGCTTCTGCATATGAAGGTGTCTCAGGAGAC